AAAAAAAAAAGATATGATTTTGATTGGTTTCACGATGGAATGTACCTTGAAATTGAGGACAAGGAAGCAGAAATGTTCGATTTTCGCTAATGTTCAAGAGTAAACAAATGACGTTACCATCCCATATGTGTCCAACTGGCCCATCTAATACGCAGTCACGAATGGGTTGACATTATTTATACAATTATTTACAACAGTGCAGAAGTCTGCATAAGAGTGAATAAAAATTCAAAACAGAAAGCAAGAGTAATATAAGAGGGGCCTGGAAACATGACTAATGAACAGAGAAAATGTCATTTTAGTGCCAGGAATGTCTGCATTGTTTATTCTGGACCCTATTTTGAAATTGGCATCTTTTTTAATTTGCATGAAATTGGCAAAATTACCAATTTCTGACCACTTTTTTGGGTAGCTGAAATCGGTAAATGGGTGGTTTCTTGTACTCAATTGATAGAACAAATGGAGTTCTAAAGAAATAGCTATGAGTTTGGTCAACTGGAACAATGGAATTGGCCAAAAATTGGGCTCAAAGTGAACAAAATCGTTGATGCATTTACATCGCTGACATCGCTAACTTCGCGAGAGAGTAATTCTGGAAGTTTTCCATAAAATTTCATACTTTTGGTGTCATATCCATTGGGAAAAGATTATCATTTCATAAGATTTTTTTTTTTTCGAATATTTTGTGACAGAGAGGGGTCTCAACAGTCAAAGGGTTAACAACGGAGTTCTGCTCCCAAGAACACATCAGTAAACCAATTTGTCACTAAGTGAGGAGCATACTATAATGATAGTGGGTTTGTGTCAACCATCTTTGATATTATTTTAATGTCACCTTTGCACCATTTATAACATTTCTGGCATATTTTTAAATGTTTATACAGTAGTCTACTGTATATTGTAATAAAGAGAATAGAGGAAATCAGGTCTAATATATATTATTTAGGCATGCAAACTGGTCAGAGAGCCTGTCGTAAGTCCGAGTCATCGGTTAATGAGTACGTCGTTATGTGAGGAGAGGCTGTATATACAAGAGAAGGGGTTACTAGCTCCTTGCTCTTGGCATTTCAGTTGCCTCCAACAACACACATGGCTTACGGAAGAATTCTGTTCCACCTGCCCATGGAAGTGGAACAAATTGTTACTTCACACTCCAACAGCACATTAAACCCTAAGAACCACTTGTTTACACTCACTCTAATCTACTCACACTAGCCTGTCTTCTAATCTCTATGCTTCAAATTCTTTGTATGATATTCACACCATACATTATTCTTAAACACAATATCTCTGCTGTCTCTAGCCTCTTCCTCACTGCAGTGTTTAAAATAGTCCATGCCTAACATAAAAGTGATGGTACTACTATACTCTAGTACATTTGCCTTTTTTTTCTTCATAGACAAACTTTTCTTTCCACAGAAGCTTCAACACAGTACCATCCCCATTTCCCTCGCCTATTCTATGGTTCACCTTGTCTTTCACAGACCAATACACTGACATGTTCACTCCCAAATATCTGAATACTGTACATTTGTTACCTCAATACTCTGTCCCTCCAATCTGGTATATAATACTGTATTGCCTAGATTTTTTGCTACTCTTATCACCTTGCTCATTTCTACGTTCACTTTTAATTTCATTGTTTTACATATCCTCTCCAATCTGTCCACCAATTTTTGTAACTTCTCTTCAGAATCTCCCCATCAGTGTTATTTTTACTGTTCTTTTTTTTCCAACAACCCGGCCATATCCCACCGAGGCAGGGTGACCTAATGTGAAAAACAAAAGTTTCTCTTCTTAAATTTAGTAACGTATACAGGAGAAGAGGTTACTAGCCCCTTGCTCCCAGCATTTTAGTCACCTCTTATGACATGCAAGGCTTATGGAGGAAGAATTCTGTTCCACTAAACCCATGGAGATAAGTGGAAGTAAACAAGAACAAGAACTAATAAGAAAATTGAAAAAAACCAAGAGAGGTGTATGTATGTATGTATGTATGTATGTATATATATGTATGTATATATATATAATATATATATATATATATATATATATATATATATATATATATATATATATATATAATATATATATATATATATATATATAATATATATATATATATACACACAATAAGATCACAGTAAACAGGTGATTTCAAAATATGCAAAACAACCACTCTGAAAGAATAGAGAAATTCCAAGCGCTTTCGTGACTACTCACATTATCGTGAGTAGTCACGAAAGCGCTTGGAATTTCTCTATTCTTTCAGAGGGGTAGTTTTGCATATATATATATATATATATATATATATATATATATATAATATATATATATTATATATATATATATATAATATATATATTTATATATATATATTATATAAATATATAAATATATATATATAAATAAATATATATATATATATATATATATATATTATATATATATATATAAATAAATATATAAATATATATTATATATATATATATATATATATATATATATATATATATATATATATATATATATATATATATATATACGTATATATATATATATACGTATATATATATATATAACGTGTATATATATATATATTATATTATATATATATATATATATAATATATATATATATATAATATATATATATATATATATATCTGAAACCAAGACAACAGTGCATAAGTGTTCGCAATAAAGCTAATAGAATCCTTGGCTTCATATCAAGAAGCATAAATAATAGGAGTCCTCAGGTTGTTCTTCAACTCTACACATCCTTGGTTAGGCCTCATTTAGATTATGCTGCACAGTTTTGGTCACCGTATTACAGAATGGATATAAATTCTCTGGAAAATGTACAAAGGAGGATGACAAAGTTGATCCCATGTATCAGAAACCTTCCCTATGAGGATAGACTAAGGGCCCTGAATCTGCACTCTCTAGAAAGACGTAGAATTAGGGGGGATATGATTGAGGTGTATAAATGGAAGACAGGAATAAATAAAGGGATGTAAATAGTGTGCTGAAAATATCTAGCCTAGATAGGACTCGCAGCAATGGTTTTAAGTTGGAAAAATTCAGATTCAGGAAGGATATAGGAAAGTACTGGTTTTGGTAATAGAGTTGTGGATGAGTGGAACAAACTCCAAGTACAGTTATAGAGGCCAAACGTTGTGTAGCTTTAAAAATAGGTTAGATAAAACATGAGTGGATGTGGGTGGGTGTGAGTTGGACCTGATAGCTTGTCTACCAGGTGGGTTTTGCCGTGTTCCTCCCTTAAGTCAATGTGACCTGACCTGACTAGGTTGGGTGCATTGGTTTAAAGGGCCGGTAGGAGACTTGGACCTGCCTCACATGGGCCAGTAGGCCTTCGGGCAGTGTTCCTTCGTTCTTATGTTCTTATGTATACGCTTGTACATGCATGTATAGTGTGACCTAAGTGTAAGTAGAAGTAGCAGGCGTACCTGAAATCTTGTATATTTATGAAACAGAAAAAAGATACCAGCAATGAGGGAAGGATTGCGGGATGTTTTTTTTTTTTTCCTGTCGAATAAACATGCAAGCTTTCAAGTATGTCTTGCTACTTCTACTTTCACTTAGGTCACACTACACATGTACAAGCATATCATACACACACCCCTCGGTTTTTCTTTTTATTTTCTTTTTAGTTTTTTGTTCTTGTTTATTTCCTCTTATCTCCATGGGGAAGTGGAAACAGAATTCTTCCTCCGTAAGCCATGCGTGTTGTAAGAGCGACTAAAAAGCCGGGAGCAAGGGGCTAGTAACCCCTTCTCCTGTACAAAATTACTAAATTTAAAAAGAGAAACTTTCATTTTTCTTTTGGGCCACCCTGCCTTGGTGGGAAAACGGCCGGTTTTTTGAAAGAAAGAAAAGAAGATTTGCATTTTTATATTTACACTTGTATTGGAGGAGATGTTGGAGAGGTTTAGAGTGGTGGAAGATACGTAGTAGGCCAGCGTATGTTCAGCGGCCCAATACACATACAACAACCTGGGGAGTTAATTTTGGGTCGTTTTTCTATCGCTTACCTCGCTTACTTACTTGCTACACTGTTAATTCTACACTTTATCACTGGCAGGCACTATAGCCTTTATCGATACCTGCTGCTTTAATATCATACATATCGTTGAATCACTGAATCACGGGCAGAAGGCACATTCACCCCTCTCTTTTTCCTCCACTTTGGTACTTTGCTACGAGTTTTTTCTTGAATTTTATTGTGTTTCTTTCCTTCTTTATCACAGGGCAGGCACTAGAAACTTTCTTTGGGCCCATGGGCTTTTTAGCAGTTACAGGCACTAAAAACAATGGAATAATACAAAATATATCGCATGTATGCGTGGAACCTTCCTCGTGGCTTGTAAACAATGGCACATGGTTGGTACAACGGGTGAGTGGCCGGGCCCGATAGAGAGCCATACTGAAAATGTTCGAGACGAATGCAGTAACCGAGTTTTTATTTGTTATCCCA